TACTTCTTATTATATTTGAATAATAATATTAAAATTTTTTTATTTTTTATTTTGTAAAATTAATCTTAAAAAATTTTAAAATTTTTTAAAAATTTGATTTTAATATAAAACTTAAAAAATTCATATAAAAATTCAATTAAATTATTAGATAAACCAAAAATTTTTTAATAAAAAAATTATAAAAAAATCAATTTATTATAAAATATATTTTTATTTAACAAATTTATCTATTGAAAGAACTTTAATAATTTTTTATTAATAACCTTTTCTAATGGATTTAAATTTATCAAAAATTTTTAAAAAAATTTTTTAAGTTAAAATTTAAGAATATTTTAATAATATATTTTAAAAAAGTTTATTTAAGTAAATATATTCTTTATATTTTTAAATATATACGTATAAATTTTTGTAATATTTTGTTTGTTAATTATTAATTATTAATAAAATTAGAAATATAATTTATTCCGATTTTTTTTGGACCAGACTGTATATAATCTGGTTCTATTAAAAATATCCGTTATATTGAGTTTAACTCTGTATAAAAATAATTTATATAATTATTATTTCAACTTTTTTAAAAATTATCCCTCAAAATTTTCGGATTTCGCAATATTTTTTCGATAATTTAGTTTTACTATTATTGATGCTGTCAAGTATAATATCATATTCGTATATCCACCCTTTATACGTAATTACAGTATATTGAATAGTAACCAGATGACACTTTAAGTTGTCCCACCACTGTGCTTAGTACTGTAGATATTGAAATAACGGGATAAATTGAAACGCTACTAATAAAATGGCATACCACATACGTACAGTACATGATATTATATATCTTCACTTGCTCATACATTTCTCGATGATTAACGAGGTTGAGGGACGTCATTTTAAGCCACTAGCGTCGATCGCTTTTTCTATATTAGATTTTTTAAATAAAATTTTCATTAAATTTTAATGTCAATTATTTTAACAACCTTTACCTATGGGTTTTGGTTAGTTTAAAATAAATTTTACGTTTCTTGGATTTCAGATTTTCCCATGTTCATATAATAAAAAAACAAAATGATTAAAATTACGTAGTTTATTGTTTATTTACTGTAACATCACATGGTGAAAATCGAAAACGTTTAAAGATCGTCGAAAATTAGCTTTAACAAAATGATGTAAATTGAATGGAATTAGCAAATTGAAATCTCCGTCAGGCACAATGATTTTCTTTTCCAAGTCGGTGCATATATTTTTATTATTAAGAATGTCTTGGTAATTTTTAATTAATGTTAATACCTCATAATGTATCGACAGGTGATCACGGAAGAAGTTATCCAAGAATTTTGTTTTTACCGAACATCATTTAGATTGAAGCGTTCCTTTCATGTTTAAGTGATTATCAAAAATTTGACATTCATGTGGGGTCCATTAGGTTGAGAACATAAAAAAGAATATAAATTAGGAATAGCTTAAAAAGCTAAATATAAAAGAACTGACTTGTGTGTTCTTGAGGAAAAAAAATCTATTACCAACAGCCTAATTTTCCAAAAAAATTTCAAAAATGTCGCTAAAACGCACCCTTTTCATCACCTTACTGGCCCTTTCTCTACTTGTATTCAATATTCACGCATCCCCCGTACGTCGAGATGTTGGCAAAATAGTGAGCGTTACCTTACAAAATCTCGATGCTACAATTACATTCGAACAAGTTGGCTTCCTAAATTTCTCGATGTCTGGTGTCACGGTGATCGGCGAGTCTGTCGCTAATGAAAGCTTAGATTCGCGTAACGGTGGTAAGTGTTTTTATTTATTG